TATTGCCTATTAGAGACAGGATTTCTTTCCCCTGAGAAAAACTACGTCTTCTAGAAATTATGTGTATCGTTCCATGCCTGTACATCAATTAAAACCAGAAACAAAAAAACAAAAAGCATTTACCTTCACAGTCAAATCCTCATTACCCAGTGTGACATGAACTTGAATAGGGGGATAAACACCTTTATCAGCATGGTGTTCCATAGTTGCTCTCATTGCATTCTGCAATATATTAGGGTTACATTAAAAGAACAGGTTTTTTAAAAAGAGAAACTAATTATAATTCTCAAGTACATATGCATTATTTGAATTTAAAAATTTTTAAATTCAATGAAAAAATGCCAAAGAATCCTAACTCTAATAACCATATTTAAATACTTTTTTAAAATATTGAGTCAATTTTGGGAATACTTTGATTTAAAGATTTCAACTAAATTCTGCATATTTTCCAAAACCAGACTTCTAAACACCTTTAATTAGTTTACATTAAAGCAGAAAATTCTGTCCAAATACTTTTATAATTTTAGTAAATAATGAGCAAAACTTACTTTTGAAAATGTAATTTCAGGTCTATTTTTAAGAACATTTTGTCATAATGTCTTTAAGGGAAAATAATTATTTTTTATATAGTGGTAACAAAGCAGTGGTCTTATCAAGATGGAGAAACTAACCCCTTTACCACTAGTTTGAAACTAAGGATATTTACATGGTGAAGAAGTTTTGATCAATTTCTAAAAAAATACAGGGTACACAATGCCAACATATTGTAAGCATTAAACAATAACAACATGACATGTAGCATTGGAGTAGAAACTGATAAAAACTAGATGCAACTGAAGAGGCAAAAGATGGGACTGAATTTGGAAATGAGGTTGTGTGGCCCATCTCTACCAAAGGCAGTTCAAGTTTAGGTTCCAGATAAAACCACTGTTATTGACATTATGTAAAACATTTTATAGAATATGGAATACTTCTTTTATTAAGCATCATGGGGCACAAGACCTTTATGTGGCTAAAATTTCAAAGAAAAAAACAGGTTTTAACCTGTTAAGTGCCAATCACTACTTATTTAACTACTTTGATAGAAAGATTTTTGTAAGGTGTTAAATACATTCTTGCTGTCCTGGAACAAAAGAGCATTCTTGAACCCTTCCTGCTCTAAGATATTCAGTCAGTTTTTCTGTGTTTCAGCATATTTTTCTTTTACATTATCAGACTGAAAGCCACCTGTCTCTCTTCTAGTTTGCTGCTGGCTGAAGACGGGGTAAAGTAAGAGAGACTATAGGCTTCTGATTTAGGGCAGCCGTTTTTAGCCGTAGAGACTGGTGCCACTCATCATCCACCTTCCTGTCAGCCAGCAAGTGTCACTGGGAGGAAAAATCATACTCTCAATGTTACCAGCATAATTTTATTTAGTTTTCAACATATGTTGTAAAGAGTAAATATAACAGCAGAAGCACTGTTAGTCAATATAAATGACTTTCTCAAAACAAAAACAAAAAAAACCAAAACAGTGGGACTCTGATTCTTTGAGGGTGGGAAGTTGAGAATTACTCTTCTAAATATTTTGTTTTATAAAAATATAACCTTAGTGAGCACCTAAAATATGCTGCCATTGTACTGGACACTTACTATATTATTCTCAATCTTCATAAATAATCCTGGGTAGTAGTATCCTTGTTTTACAGAAGAGGAAACTGAGGCTTAGAGAAGTTGAGTGACGTGACCAAGGTCACACACATATTAAATGACAGAACTGAGATTCAAACCCAGGTCTTCCTGAATTCAAAGTCTGAGCTCACCACTACAGGAAGGTGCCCGTCTGTGTTAATAAAAGGCTCATCTCCAGCAATGTAACATGATACTGACATGAAATGGCATGTTATTGAAACAGGACAACCCAGTGGAATATCTGACTTTCAGAGCAGATTCCTAACCTCAGG